TATTTACCGTATCATAACAGTTTCTTAGTAGAAATTTGTTTGTGTTACACTTGTGCTGTATGTCTCTTGTGTTATAACAAACCCCTCACCCATAATTTAATATATATAAAAATATGAGGCCAACCCTATTAACACACACACACACACACACACACATGTTCGTTTAAAGTTATCCTAGCATATGCATAGAAGTGTCGAATGGGAAAACAATGCTCAAAGCTGAGAATTCTTTCAAATTTAGCAAAATTTCCGATTAATTTGAAGTACAGTAGCAGGTGGTCTCTCTGTAGATAATTTAAGTACAATACACCTAAATGCAGCTGAAAACTCCTAATTGTTTTTAATCGTAGATGTGAAAAGGGGGTCTGTCACCCTCTTAATATCTCCCCAGAATCTCCTTGGTGGGCCAGGATGTGTGCTTATATCGCTCCCCAGTAACAGATAACCACTAACAACAGTGGACCGATTGATTCAAACATGTTGCTAAATAGTCGAGTTGTTTTGATCCTTAACGATTCTGATAACAGTACGGTATATATGGCTGATAATGGGATAAGGGGTCACCTAAAGATTAGGTTAAATTAGGATTATTAATATGGATAAGAATGCGGGAAGGGATATATATATATATATATATATATATATATATATATATATATATATATATATATATATATATATATATATATATATATATATATATATATATATATATATATATATAATTTTTTTTTCAACTCAGTTATCTTATATCTTATGTCATATAGAGACTTATTTATGTAGTGTGTGTAATAGCTTTAGCGTTACCTTATGTTACAAAGATTTATAAGTAAGAGTAGGAGTAGCATCAGCCAAAACGTGTATGGTCGAGTGGTTTAACAGCAGGAAAGATTTAATAAAAAAAAATCTAGCAGACATAACGGCGTTCAGGTTGGTCCGCTTCACCCCAAGCTACTTAGACTTAGTTGTGTGAAGAGATAACAGTGCTTCAGAACCTAAAACTGGTTCTTAAAATATGTAGATCATTCAAATGTTTGTCAATCACATAGTGTCTTGACAGTGAATAGTATTAAATATTCCCTTCAAGTTAGGAACATTTATCTCGGGCAGTAATGAAGGACATATTGTGTGATAGCTACCCAGTACTCCAGTCAGCTATGAAAATACCAACCAACTCCATAAAACTTAAACGGATCATAATATATTCACGTACTTATGGGGTGGTACAAATTTCTTTACCATATTCAATTTTCTTTACCTGTTACCACTTTTCCTCTTTCCTCCTGTATCATCCGTTGGCAGAGCTTGGTTTAAGATACTTTCAATCCTGATTCAAAAATGGTTAATTACTTAGAGTATATTAATAGTAGTTTCCTTGCTCAGTCTAGCAGCCGACCTGTAGTAGACACTAGACGAGATGAGTGTTCTTGTTGCTGCTGCACGTTCTTTGAACTGCCCGCCACTGCCATCTATTGGACTACAACTGAGTGAAACAATAGTGCGAGGTTCTTACGAGAGATGGCGCGGCATGCATGTTTTTACTCGTGGTGCTGAACAAGTTCTTGGTAATGAGATCCCGCGTCCAAATCTCGAAGACTTTAACATTATAATATCTTTATTGCACTTTAAAAAATACGGACTTTAAGCGCTAAACTAGTTAATAATTACATTATCCATTAACAAATTAATATTATAAGAGATACAATTCTATTCCTCCTGTTAAGATAATATAGGGAAGGGTTAATGTCCACTAGTGACTAGTGCTTGTAATGTACAGATCATAAAATAATATCGTTAACCATGGAGGTTCATAGTTTTTTGAGTAGTGTTATTTCACTAATTTCGACCATAGGTGTTGGTTGGTATACACCATTAACTATTATGTGATTTTCAAATTGACCATCAAATTAAATTTTATTCCGACAGACATCTTATGAATACCGCCATGGGGACCAGACATCCCAACATATAATGATGCAGTGGAGGATAAAGCAAAACATTTCATCCAGCGTTTCAAATTGTAGACGTGGAAAAATTAATTATGCTTTTTGAGGGAGTGTAACAATGTGTTCCTTGTGTGATCAGCGACATATAGTCTTATTTGCCATCATTTAGGATATCGTTCATCTTGGATTTTTATAATGTCTAATAGATTTAAGTAATTTTATTACTTTTGTTGTTTCATGTATTTAAGTGCTTCTGCGGATCAGGTCTGAGAGTCATTCATTAGGTATAAAATTTTAATCTAGACAAATTATGTTAACTCTACTTTTAAGTCTTTCTCCGCCATTGTTTTATTACTGTAATTTATGTTTTATCAAATCACTATGCCTTCATGAATATCCTTAGACCTCCCCTTCATGTACTGTACGTAAGAAATTATTATACTACATTTGAAATAATTTTAATCTGAATTATTAAGCGGGGCATTTTACCATTAATAATATATAACGTTGGGATTCTTCGGACCACCTAAGGGTTAGCCCCTAGCTTATTTCACCGTGAGATTAAACATTAATGCTAATCTAACCTAACCTAACCTAAGGTAATGTTAGGATGGGGGCTTAATATTTACGAGATTTTATTCCTATATAGTTTGAGGGAACATTATATTACCTTAATTAACAAGGTGATGTACCAGGTATACTTCCATTACTTGTCATACTGATCGCTTCTCTAGGTGTTCTGGCCGCCACTCCACCCTGGGACGGTAACAATAACCTCTCACGGGGATGGTAAAGAATGTAGTTGGCTACTGGGCGGTTTTACGAATAATATATATTAGCAGCACTGATGGTGTACTATGTGATATCCGACGATTCTACAGAGGGGTAAGGTAGGGTAGGTAAGGTAAAGGTAAGGTAGGGTTGGGTAGGGTAGGGTTGGGTAGGGTAGGGTAGGGTAGGGTTGGGTTGGTTATTCTTAAGGTGAAATAAGCTGGGGTAGCCAATTTTTAGGTGATCCTCAATTTTTTATCACGTAGCAGAACAAAACACTAATTATCCCCTGAGAATGCCAATATGTGGCCAAGGTAAATGAACTGCTTCAACTGGTCGTATATTTAATACTAATACCAGATAAACTAGAAATGAGAAAATAATAGTCAGCTTCACTTCATACAGAGGCTTGGGGAGTAGACGTTTTCTCTTGACATATTATAAAAATTTCATCAATTAATCTTACCTTCACAGACAGAAAAAAAACAGTTTGCTGAGGAATTTTGTTGTTAGTCACTAAAAAATAAGGTTTATTTTTTGGTGAAGAAAAGAACATTGAAGAGAGTGAGAATCCCACAATCCGCTTGCTACCTGCCAAGGTATTTCTACTTTTTCTCTTAATTTCCACGACTATTTTTACAACGCCTCCTCGGCACTATTGCTCCCCCTTGAAAGACGGTCACAAGAACTTAAATAACTGCTCAGTGGCTCCCCAACTTTCTCTGTTTCACTGAAACATTTTCTTTTTGCTGTCTGCACTACGACTTGCACGTTTTCATGTGTGTGTGTGTGTGTGTATTTTCGTGTGTGTGTGTGTTTTCGTGTGTGTGTGTTTTCGTGTGTGTGTCTGTGTGTGTGCGTGTGTGTGTATTTTCGTGTGTGTGTGTATTTTCGTGTGTGTGTGTGTTGGTGTGTGCGTGTCCCTCTCACTCAAGCCCCGCCCGACCAGGCTGCCGGGGTCGTGTTTATAGACGTCGGAGAACGCCACTGGGAGTAACGAAATAAAAATACAACAAACGGAACAACCTTTTTTAACCCCGGCAAAAGACACTCATCATTGAGATAGTTGACGTTTTATCATGGACTGAAACACCTTTTATAAGTTAATTTATTCCGACTTGCCATCACCTGGGCAGGTTGACAGGTAGTTGAATATTTAAGAAATTACAGTAGCGCCAAGAAGTAACCCCTGACATGATTATTCACTGGGAACAGTTGACTTATAATTATAATATTTCCTCAGATCATTGTTGTCCCTAGTTGCAATATTTCCATCTGGTATAACCATGTAGGTTTTGCTTTCCTACTGACACGTATTATCAGGTGTTAAATGTGACTCTGACTTGTTATTTTATTATGTGTTGTAAAACTTTTATTTGGCATTACTCTATCGTGGTCTAAATACATGACGGCTGTTTGTATTGCCTGGTGTCATGCCGACGTGTTAGTATAGAGTTGTGTACTTGCCATGAAGTGTATTATGTGTCTCAGTATCTTGTAGTATAAATTTTAAGAACAGTGTGTGTCATAATAGGTTTTATTTCCATATAGTTCAGAGGGTTTTCACGTATTTTTCTTTCATTATTTTACTTTCCTGTGATGTAAGACATTTCTATGTGTCTTAGGATGTTTCCTCATGTTGTTTTAATGTTAGATACGTTTTATTCTTTGTTTTAGGATGTTCTCGTTAATATTTGGATCTTTACGTGTGTTTAAGGGAGTTTTCTGTAGTTGATTTAACGTTAGGTTAGGTTAGGCTCGATTAGGTTATGTTAAATTAGCTTATTTTACATTAGGTTGGCATTAGGTTAAGTTAAGCTATATTATGTTAGGTTAAGTTAGTCTAGAATATGTTATATTAGGTTAGGTTAGATTAAGGTAGGTTAGTTAGTTTATGCTACGTTAGCAATAGGTTAGATTATGTTAAATTAGGTAGGTTAGGTTAGGGTGGGTTAAGTTAGCGTTAGGATGGGTTAAGTTAGCGTTAGGATGGGTTAAGTTAGCGTTAGGATGGGTTAACTTAGCGTTAGGATGGGTTAAGTTAGCGTTGGGTTGGGTTAAGTTAGCGTTAGGATGGGTTAAGTTAGCATTAGGATTGGTTAAGTTAGCGTTAGGATGGGTTAAGTTAGCATTAGGATTGGTTAAGTTTGCGTTAGGATGGGTTAAGTTAGCATTAGGATGGGTTAGTTACAATGTGAAATAACTTGGGGTGCCTAATATTTCACATGGTCCATTACCTTTTATTGTAATTTAGGAAAAATGCGAATAGACTGAAACAGGTGAGATATTTGCAGATTTTATTTTCCTTTTCTTTACATTCTCATTAACCTATTTATATCATTATGAATAACTTCAGAAGTATAGTAAAGATTTCATGGTTCGTGTGACTTTATATCATTACATAAATAAAACGGGTGGATAATTTTTAAACATTGTAACAAGTATTTATGTCGTTACCAAATATATACTGTTTATCCCTCAATTATCGTTATCACTTTCGAGCGGATGCTAGAACTTTGGCCCACAGTTGTCACACTCACACCTGCAACAAGAGTATGATATGTAATAAATAATTAATACTGATATATGTTTTTATTTATATATGTAAGAATAAGACTTGTACATAACAATTTTTTTTTGGGGGGGGGGGCTTTTGTTATATAAATCTTAGTAAAATTAATAAGAGTTAATTATGCGCATCATTTAATAATATTTAAAAGGCAATCATCATGAAGTTGTTGGTTTTCACCATGTAAAAGATTAAGTTACGTTTATCTCAGTCAGTAAATAATATATTTTTCTGCATTCATACTTGTAAATATTACATAGACACACATACTATCAAATAAGTGTATAAAAGTTTCTAATACTTTCGGTGCATCAAAACTATTAAAGTTTACGTTCGTAAATCTCATGTGATATACCTTCTCTTTTGTTATGGTTTGTGTTGTACAGCTGGATTAAGCACTACCTTCCAACTCCTGCTGGACCTTGCGGTACTTGGCCAAGTTCAGGGCGGCGATCTCTTCTGCCTCTTCGATCTGGCGTTTGTAGGTCTTGATCTTCTGCTGCAGCTTGTCGACAAGGTCCTGCATTTTGTCGTGGTTCTTCTTGTCCTCATCGGACTGGAAGGTGAGCTCCTTGATGCGCCTCTCACACTTCCTCAGGTTCTTCTGGGCGTCAGAGTGCCGACGAGATTCATCGTCTAACTGGCCTTCCAGCTCGCGTACATGATGTTCCAGTTTACCGACAGATTTCTTTACAGTTTTCTGAGCGGTGGTCTGGCTCTCTTCATATTTCACTTGGAGATCCTTGTAAGTAACTTCCAGGCCCTTGCGCATCTTGTCCAGGTTCTGGGCGTGTTCCTGTTCTGAGCGGAGTTCGTCAGCCAGGCGGGCGGCGTCAACCATGGCCTTCTTAGCCTTGTCCTCAGAATTCTTGGCCTCGTTCAGCAGCTCCTCGTAGTCAGCCTGTTACAAAATTAATTATATAGAAAATATTGCATTTGTTTATATTCTTCAATCTGAATGGATTATAGCCAATTGTATAAAAAAAACCTATGCCCATCTATTTTGTTATTGGTATATTTAAAATCTAAAATTCTCACCTGGAGAGTCTGTGATTCACTCTCAAGCTTCCTCTTTCCTCCGATCAGAGAACCATACTGTTCGTGGAGGACGCTCCATTGTTCACGAGCATCGTGCACCTCAGACTCGGCATTACGACGTCCGCGGTCAGATTGTTCGATAAGAGTACGAGTTTCTTCCAACTCTCCATGGATTGCATTGGCTCGACGTTCTGAAATGCCGTATTGTTCGCGGTACTCGGAAGCAACGCGCTGTTCTTCCTCAACTTTCAGCTGCGTATCCTTATACTCTCCTTGAAGTTTCTTATAGCTCTTCTGCAGATCAACGTAAGCCTTATTGGAATGGTCAAGAGCAATCTCAAGTTCATTGATGTCTGACTCAAGTTTCTTCTTTAGGCGAAGAGCCTCAGCCTTGGCCTTAGATTCAGATTCAAGGGAGGCTTGCATTGAATCCATGGCTTGTTGGTGGCATTTTCTGGAAATCCGGGAAATTCATTAAAATTTTAAGTTTACAATAGTCTAGTCTGTAATATAAAAAGTAGTTACATATCTGTTGAGGCAGTGAAATGTTTTTACTTACCGAGTATTGTCAAACTCCTCTTCTTTCTCTTGAATGCGTCTGTCAATCTCCTGTCTCACTTGACTGAGCTCAAGTTGTCCACGAAGAACCTTATTCTCTTCTTGTTCAAGAGCAGCTTCAGCCTCCTCAAGAGCAGCTTGGAGTTCTTCCTTTTCGATCTCAAGACGTTTGTAAGTTTTCTCCAGATCGTGATAGGACCTGCCTCCCTCGGTGATCTGATCCATCAGGTCCTTGATTTCATCAGACAAGTTCTTGTTCTCGCGACGCGCAGCGTCATAATGCTCCAGATTTTCTTCATATGCGGCCTTAATGCGGAAATGTTCAGAAGAATAGTTACGGCACTCCTTCTGGGAAGAATCAAGATCGGTAGCAAGATCATCAATCTTCAGCTTCCATTCAGCCAGGATCTTATCGAAGTTCCTCTGCTTTTTCTCAGTAGCGGCGGCAAGGGTTGAAGCACGCTCAACAGCTATCTGTGCCTCTTCATAATCAGCTGCAAGCTTTTGTTTAGATTTTTCCAGGCTCAAATTTTTGACGTTCAGTAGCTCGATCTGTGATTCAGCTTCATCCAGACGGGCAGCGAGCTTCAACCTAGCAGCCTCAAGCTCCTCGGCACGTGCGATACCTTCAGCTTCATATTTCGAGCGCCACACTTGAGCATCAGCATTAGCCTTAGAGAGCAGGCGCTGTACGTCACCTTTAGCTTCACTTTCTACTTCGAGCTGTTCCCGAAGACTTGCAATGTCGTGCTCCAGGTTGCGGTACTTGCCAAGAAGAGTTGCTCGCTCCTGTTGGAGGATCAGAGTGTGTGTTAGTATGATCTGGAGGTTATATCTTGATAATTATGAGCCCAAGTAATTGCCAGTTGCCAGTCTCATTGCCAAATATTGGCAACACGTATATAGCATAATTTAATATATATATATATATATATATATATATATATATATATATATATATATATATATATATATATATATATATATATATATATATATATATATATATATATATATATATATATATATATATATATATGTATATGTATATATATATGTATATATATATATATGTATATATATATAGAATCCTTACCCTGCTCTCTTCATCTGAAAGCTTCTTGTTATCGTCGAGCTGGTTAGTGAGAGACAGCTTAAGTTTGGACAACTGGCCAATCGTGCTCTCAGATTCCTCTACCTGGCGCAAGAGATCTGCGTTCTCAGTGTAAAGTTTCTTTTTCGTTGCGTCATATTCACTGAGAGTCCTGTTAGATTCGTCAATCCTTGCATGGAGGTCGGCAATCTGTTGTGCTATCTGCTTAGCTGTCTTCTCTGCTGCATTCTGAGTGACGTCAAAGAATGAGGTAAGATACTTGTTTTAAAATTTACCACCAGGTTAGTGTTGGTAATATCACACAGCCATCAAGTCTACTTACTCTACAGATAAACTGGTTGGTTACCAGAGTGGTGCTTTCATGGAATTAGAATTATGTTAGGCATCTCTCTCTCTTTTTTTTAGTTAATCCAGATGCATTTTGACTAGAATTTCAGATACTTGAGGGTTTTCAAGGGTTAACAGATATGTGAATCCTTTCTTGTGGATGAATAATGTATTCATCTTTCATTTGTTGATTTATACTTTAACGTGCTGTAATTCCTAAATTAAATATATATACCACATAACCTCAGATGTGTAACACGGGAGGCTTGTGTTGAACATTGGAAAACATAAAACCCTCCAAGCGTGAAGAAGAAATTCGTTTGATTCAGTTTCCTGGAGGTAATGGTACCCAGAAATATTTACCTTGTCGCGGAAAACAGCATCATAGGCGGCTTTAGCGTCTTCAGCATCGCGTTTCATGGTATCCTTATCCTTTTCCATTCTGTTAAATGTATGAAAAATTATTTAGTTTACATTGAAAGATAGAAAAATACTTTATGCCATGCATTTTAGGAATAATCGTCCATTTAGGCCTGGAAGCGTTATTTATAATTTATAGTCTGTGGTTTATCAATATGACTACTGCTATGTTAACATCACTTCATTTTTTGAAAAATCCGATTTGCCAAGGCAGTACAAAACTATGTAGAGCCTGTTTTAAATTAACAACATTATTTTCCTGTGTCAGGTATAACTTTAAATGCACGGGTCAATCAGGAGATATGTAAAAGGGGGTGGGGTCGCTGTCATACCTGGCCTTCATCTTGTTAAGATGCTCGATTTGCTCCGACAATTCCGTGATGGCATCATTATGCTTTTTTCGGAGGAGGCTGACAGCGGAATCGTGCTGAATGTTGGTTTCCTCGAGGTCGTGGCGGAGCTTGGCCAGCTCTCCCTCTCGCTTCTTATTCAGCTCGATCTGAGCGGCAGTGGCACCACCGGCCTCATCCAGACGATCGCCGAGTTCTGAGAGCTCACGAGCGAGACTCGCCTTAGCCTTCTCAACTTTAGCACGGACTTGGTGTTCATTTTCAACCTCTGCTTCAAGTTCTTCAACTCGGGCTTGTTGATCTCTGATTTGCCTTTGGACCTTCAGATACTGGCCTTGCTCGTCTTCAACCTTGGCGATCAGTGCGGAGTATTCCTTGTCCTTACGGTGGATTGTACTCTCAAGATCCTTATAATTTCGCTCGAGATCAGAGATGGCCTCCTGAGTGAGCTTAAGGTCTCCTTCAACTTTCCTCTTGGACTTCTCAACATCATTGCGCAACTTCTTTTCTCGTTCAAGGGAATCCTCGAGTTCATCAAGGTTCTGTTCGAGTTTCGTCTTGAGGTTGTTGTAGTGATTGCATTTATCCTCAATGCTCTGGTAGTCCTCGGCGGTCTTCTGATTGCATTCTTGGAGTTGCTTCTTTTCCTTGTTGATCTTGTTGTAAATTTCCTCCTGGTGGGCGCTCTCTTCATTCAAGGTGTGAATCTGCTGATCTTTGGTGGCCTTGTCTTGTTCAGCCTTTTGAAGGGCTAGTTCGATATCCTCAAGATCTTTCTTCAGGCTTCCTAACTCCTGCTCGGTCTTCTTCTTACCTTGTGTGAGCTGATTGCGGGCTTCTTCTTCCTTATGCAGACGATTGGTCACTTCCTAAAAATAAGGAAGAACCAATGCTAAGTAACATATAATATTAAAGGTAGATAATGGCATACACCATCAGAATTAACTATCCTGATCACTAGGAGAATAGGAGAAACAAAACTTCACACCCTCGCTAAGGGGAATAGAAGTACCGTCCTTTTATAAATTAGTACACCCCCCTATTTAAGTCCAAAGAAATTAAGTTTTATAATGTACTGCGGCGTACTAAATTAAGGTTATTTTATGTTAAAAAGCTGACACACACACACACACATATATATCTTGATAAATCTTGATAAAATCACACGGGAAAAAGGGAAACAACGGAGCACCTTTATCCTGTGTGATTTTATCAAGATATGTGTGTGTGTGTGTGTGTGAACTTACATTTAATTGCCCCTGGAGGTCAGCCTTCTGACTCTCAAGCTTGGCTTGCTTTTCCATGAACTCGGACATGCCACTCTTGCTTGAATCCAGAGTCAGCAACAGGGTGTTCTTTTCTTCTGCCAGAGCAGCATGGATAATCTCCAACTCCTTGCGTTTCTTCAGCTCCACTTCGTATTCCGCCAAACATTTCTCAGCCTGTTTTTCGAGAGCATTAATTTCGTCCTCGCCACGAGTAACGTTGAGGCGGGGTTTGATCGCCTGCCAAAGGCCGTACCAGAGCCAGGCGTACATCACCTTATACCTTCTCAGACTGCGCTGGACAACAATGAGAGCAATACGCTGATCCTGAAGTTTCTTATAATACTTTCGGCTCTTCCAGCCACGAATCCAGGCCTGCATCCATGTGAGCAACATTCCCACACGCTCTTCACGGATCTCCTCCAAGGAACCCAAGACACCAGCGCGGAAGAATACCTGTTGGTTGTAAAGCGAGAACATTTCTCATTACAATCTGGAAACTAACATATTCCTGAATACTGATGTGCCACCGCACCTAAACAGATGATGAAAATCAGATTTTGTGTTTTTATGTTTCGAACAAATAATGCAGTAAGAAGACGTTCAGTCGCATCTGTTAGACAAACAAAACAAAATTAATCCTGTACAAACCTTTGTGTTGCCGCAGCGATAAAGCTCTACATCCAGACCAGCCTTATCGAAACAAGCCTTGGCGGCATTCTTGTCGTCCTTGGCTTCAAGCATCTCCCTCGAGGCCAGGATAGCGTAACTAAGGAAGAAATAGCATCACTTAATAATTTACAGATTACCAATTCAAAGATAGTTTAAATCACTTGAGATATGGTTACTCAAGATGGTAGTGGATACCTGGTAATGAAAAAGTGGCCTTTTGGGGATATGGAAAACGATGCCAAAGATTTTCACTCTTATATCTTTTACTTATATAATCTAATGCAAAGTTAGTTTATATGGCCGTATTCTTACCGGTGCTTGAATTCAGGATACATCATCCTGTTGGGGAAGCCCTTACGGCAGATACGGATACCCTCAAGTACACCGTTGCAGGTCAGCTGGTGCATAATCAAGCCTGCATCAGTCTTACCTAAGCGAGGAAGGGAAGTGAAATGTATACGTTATATACAGAACCTGACAGATATATACTGTATAATATTGAACAGTTTATGTGCTATGGCAAAGGTGCAGATTTTTTCGAGTTAATTGATCATGCTAATCGAAATGTTTTCAAGACAAACGGAATGGTTCTGTAGAGTCGAAATAACAACACTTATTTACCTTAAGGTTTTTGTATTATCGTCAGCCAAGAACAATAATGATGTTGATTCCACACCGTAAATCACACTCACTACACGGAATTCTATCTTCTATAATTTTTAGTTGATGGACAAGTGCAATTATTAACTTTCTTTCGTGCGTAAAGACCATTAGCATTAACAACGATGGTAAACTAAAATGCAGATTGTGGAAGGAGAACCATATTATTTGTAAGCGCTTTGGTTATATGCAATAAAGGAGTCGCTGATATTATTTGGTGATTGTCACAACTTACCAGGAGACTTGGTCTCGTTGGGGACGATACAACGGATGAAGTGAGGGTGAGTAGAATTGAGGGTTCTCATCAGGTTGCTCAACTGATCCTGTGGGTGAGAACATCATGGATAAAATTAGTTTATGTGAATCACTTCTCCTGCCAGTTAGGAGTAAGTTAAATAATCCAAGACTCAATTCTGGATATTATCAGTAATGGACATCAATTTTCCAATACCCTTTCGAAGTTAGTGTTCACTTATTTTAGGCATTTGGTCAAAGTGTTTGTAAAGATGTTCTGGTTCTGCCAAAGCAGTACTTAAGAGATATAAAGGCGTTTTTTTTTCTTGGCTTAAACAACATACATTGACTTCACTAATCATGTGGTAAACAAATGTTAGTCATTCCAACGTTTGATAGATTATAACAGTATATCATAGACATATAGATTTGTCTCCATCGGTATGTAAGTCAATGACAGTTACGTATAGAGAAGTTGGAGCAACTGATATTGACAAAGAATATTATAAGGATATAAAGAGTGTACTGTAAGAACATGTATTAAACTTGGCGGACTTACCCTGTAGCCAGAGGAGACAGTCTTGAAAGAACCAGATTTCGCACCACGACCACCTACAAATAACATTTGAGTTTGATATTAATAATAGTCTATTTCGGTCTGGAACTTAATTTCGTTCATTATTTATCATTTACAACAAATACCTAATTGTACGATGACACGCAAAGTTGTCGACTAATATTTAGGTAAAACAACTAAGAACAGCTGAAAAAAACCCAACATGATTTATCTTCGATTACACTTCCTGTAGTTTCAATGAGGAAAAGATACCATTGAGTTTTTCAGTCATCTGACAGTAAAGGCAGCATATGAACTCTGTGGGAAGAGAGAAAACAGTTGTCATACTTCTAATGAAGCAGGCATTCGTAATATACGATCGTTTACTTTGTGAAACGTAAAGAAAACAATATTTCAGCTAACTATTGTAAACAAAATTAAAAAAATATTAATTTAAGAATATAGATATTGTAAAAAGATATCAGATAAAATTCTAAGAATACTTACCACCTTTAGATTCACCACTACCGGATTGTCCGGGATGATCAGCAAAGGCTACAATGCAAAGTTCGTTGCTGGACTTCTTGAGCTGGTCAACAACAGTGTCGTTGAGGGGATCCTTGTTCTTCTCGAGCCAGCCACTCAGGTTGTAGCTGACAGTACCAGCGTAGTGAACAATGGCGAAGTGAGCTTCTGGTATACCAGCCTTTGGTGGCTTAGGCTTGATGAACACAGGAGACTTTCCAAGGTGGTTAGCATTTAACTTCTCAGAGAAAGACTTGTCAGTAGCCTTGGGGAACATAGACTCTTCTTCGAGGATGGAGAGCAGACCCATTTTCTGACGAAAGATCTCGCGTTAACGATATAAAAGGAAACGGACGCATGAATAATATCAAACAAAAATGTTTTCATTGTCAAATGATGTCTTTATAGTGATTATAATGAAGTTACCTTCTCGAAGAGCTCGATGCAGGCCTGCAGATCCATACCGAAGTCCACGAAGACCCAGTTGATGCCTTCCCTCTTGTATTCCTCCTGCTCCAGCACAAACATGTGATGGTTGAAGAACTGTTGCAGCTTCTCGTTACAGAAGTTGATGCAGATCTGTTCAAAGCCGTTGAACTGTTGGGAACAAAAACAGTTGGTTACAATAACTAGGATATACATTTATTTTCCTGTCATACTGATATATATATATATATATATATATATATATATATATATATATATATATATATATATATATATATATATATATATATATATATATATATATATATATATATATTGTAGTAGCCTATATTATATCTCCATTAATTTGCAGATTTGTCCTGTGCTTCGAATAGGCGTGAATAAATTTCGATAATATCGGAAACTGTCATTTGTTTTTGATAAGTACAATGTTCAAGCATTTTAATTGGAAGCAGCAGTGCCTAATTTACTTACGTCGAAAATCTCGAAGCCGGCAATATCAAGCACACCGATGAATGAAGCTCGCTTCAGGCCAGTCTCAAGAGTCACGTTACACTTCTGTACCAAGAACTTGAAGACACGATCGAAGAGACCCTTAGCCAAGGCACCGATGGAGTAATTACACTGGTTCACGTTCATGCCCTTGGCTACGAACTCGGCTCCGACCTTGATCTTGGGCTTGGTAAGGTTCCTGTACAGGTCATCACCAACAGTGCCCAGCAACGTGGCGACCTTGTCACCAACCTAATAAAGAAGGAAAATATTACCCTCTGCCACAGTGATCACCAACAATATTTCTGCTTAGTTCGGACAAGAATTAGTAGCTTTTATCAGTACACCGTTTGTTCATCAGAATGAACCAGAAACATTTAAGAGTGTCGATTGATGAAACGTTCACAGAAACAAAGTTGCTCAGTACTTGATATTCTCTCATTTCCTCATTCACTCATACATCACATCAAACAATTAATTCATTTTTTTTTCTTTTCCCTGAAAAATGTATTTACGTAATTCTTATTTTCGTATATCAGGTATATAATCTAACTGGTACGGTAAGCTCAAAGACCTTATTTTTTTAAGCCCAATTATACATTATAAGAATCAACATCATCACCAACAACTCTAAGCCTGTGTTAAGATTTATAAACCAAACAATTTTAGACCTCGCAGATGATAATGGAAGGACTATAAGCAAGAGTTAGGGTGACGTGATGGCTAAAGTATTCTTTTATAACAACCTTCTAATATATTCACTGCTCAACACCATTTCATTATACACTCGATTTTTATGTTACTCATCATTATAAAAATAATTTAACTATGAAAATAATGGAAGTGTGTTATTGATTTTTATAAGGAATATTTTATACACTTAATTAATGTATTTTACTTGTTGAGAGTTTTTTTGTGTGAAAACAGTGATAGGTGCAGTGAGTATCTGTATCAGTGATCACTGGAAAGTAATCGGTTCATTTACCACAAGGACTTACCTCAGTACCGTCGGCTTCAGCCTGCTCCTCGCGACCTCTCTGCTTAAACTTCATCTCACCCATATGCATGACAGCGGCGGTGATCTTATAAACGTCCTCAACTTCAGTCGGGGTGAAGCCAAGAATGTCGAAGGCATCCTGAAGCAAGAAGAGTTTGCTGAATATTCGCCAATATTTGTTGTGGTATAATTTTTGTTAACACCTCTCTAACATGCCACGAAATAATTAACCCCAAATTTACGTGCTTCTTCATAATGTTAATGATATACTAAATCAGACGTTTGTTAATTAAATATAGTATAAATATTTTTAAGAAATCTTAAACATTAGAACACGTTAAAAAATTACAATTAAACCAAAGCAACAACTTATGCACTAACGAAGTTTCTATGAACTAAATTTAGTTCCCTTTTGTTGGAAAATTATGGTCAGCTGTTTGTAGCGAAAATTATGGTCAGCTGTTTGTAGCGAAAATTATGGTCAGCTGTTTGCAGCCTTCATGAGCTCAGCTGAGACGGCAAATAGTATTTAAAATCCTTTTTGAATAAAGACATGCAGATGTTCATGCTCTATAAGCGTAAACACTCGCATATATACAGTATATACTGTACATATATATATGTAAGTTCACTTTATAATCATATAAGGGACAATAAAAATGTAAAACCTGTAGATATATCGTTGGAACACAACTTTCAAGTCCGAACTGCCACCCTTCCCATCTTTAGCGAAGGGGACAGTGACCTGCCACGGAACAACCTGTGGCAGTAGAACACGTCGTCAGTAAGCAAACACAAGATTGGAGACAGGACAAATCACAACTGAAGGTTCGTATATATTCAAATATAAATAAAGGAATTGGCGAAGTTGTCGTTCGTATCTTCTGTGATACAGTTGTCTATTATGAGAAACGATGATGTGGGGTTACAGAGAATTGACATGCTTTTGTTTTTTACTGTTCTTCTGATTTCCTTTTCAGTTGAGAACAGCGGAAGGGTTCTTTGATAAACTAGGAATAAACTCGGTATTTTGTTGAAATATAAAACAAAAAGAACTACATCAATCTTCTACCCAATCGATATAAGTCTTTCAGCATATCGATTGCAACTTTTGTACACTTTCAGTGAAACACACACCAGTGGTTGGGCCGGATAATTCACCGAGTTAAACCACTCACGTGACAGAACTGCATGTCCTCGCCGTCATCAATGGAGGGGACGGTGACCTTGCCCTGAGACACGTAGTGATAATCGTAGATGTCGTCGCTAAGGAAACACATGGCTGCAGATGGGAATAAAGATGTAGGCAGGGCATCCAAATGAGATTACGGTTTGGTGGGAACTCCAACTCCAAATTTTCCTTCACAAATAGTATCTTCTTATTTGGTATTTTCCTTAATATTATTAAGGTAAAACTTTTGCCATTGTACAAAATATATTCAAACCGTTGTCTTCAGGGACTACTGGAGCTCTCTGCTTAGTCACAAACAAAAGCTAGCTGATTCTTTTCTTAGAATCTATGGGATAACAGGAGCTGCCATACGCAACAGCACCACCTACTTTCCTTGGGCAGCAGAGAAGACAGTAATGTTGCTGAGGTAATTTTAGAGTAATTCAAAATATTACTTCCTCTATGACTCGAAAGACAAATGACGCTCAATAAAGGGAAAACGTTACATGTTATCATTGAAGATAATGTGTACCTCACCGAGCCTGTAATACTGTGTAGTTTCCTGAGGTAACACTAACCTAAATATATGACGATACGATTCTTCACAAACTAGCCTTCACATCTTTTGATATGTAAAAGTATGAGAAATTATATTCATTTACTGGTAAAAACTATATTTATTTTGCAAAGAACACCTCCATGTATATAATTTTTAACAATACGCGAATTCCATGTAGATGTTCCATAATTTCCTGAATTTAATGCTATCAAACAGTGTACCTAGATTTAGAACATATAATATTGAAATATTTGGAGCCAAAGACGTTGGTAAATACTATCTTTTTTTTTTAATATTATTACCAAGTGTTTTGAATCCTGTGATATGAAACGGTTTTCTAGAGAGCCATAGGACTATTCATAGTACGGTATTGCATATAGTCTAGCTGCAGTGGTTCCCAAACTTTTTCTGATCATTACCCACTTTTCATATATGATCCTTATCCATGGCCCCCCCTCTCCTAATCCATATCTCTGGCTGGCTCAGCTGCTGACTGGCTGTTCTAGTGTGGTGGGGCTTGGGATTTTTATGTGTACATAGCCTCAGCTTATGGCCCCCTAAATTTTTCTGGGGGGCCATGGCCCCCAGTTTGGGAACCAGTGGTCTAGCATATTGTTAGGAAAGGGCAGTGAATGTCTTATGTGACGACCAAATGTTTGACAAATAAAATTATTCCACATCGATTAAAAATGACAACAGTAGGAACTATGTTCGGTTTCGCACACAATTTAGCACAATGAAGGAATACTTACGCTTAATCGTTTTGATTTGGTCGGCCATCATCTCGTAGAAGATATGGTAGGAACGCTCGGCAGGCTGCTGGGAGATGACACGAGCCTTCTCCAGAAGGTAGACCTCGATATCAGCACCGGACAGCTTGCCACTGGGTTGGAAGTGGATACGGATGAACTTACCCTGTGTAGAGAACGGATGGCATGACCTCATGAAACTTGGGTTAGACACATTAAATGAACACTAATTTAATACAGAGTTTTGTTTCACAGAAAGCTACGATAACATTTTCCACGTAATGGTTATAGAGAAGAGAAGATGGTTCAACTCACGAAGCGGGAGGAGTTGTCGTTACGGGTGGTCTTGGCGTTACCGAAGGCCTCCAGTACAGGGTTGGTCTGGATGATCTGGTCCTCGAGGTTCTGAAGTGTAAGTGAAAGAGTTGCTTTATTACTACCGTGTCGGAGCAAAATATGTCTGTGTGTGTGTGTGTGTGTGTGTGTGTGTGTGTGTGTGTGTGTGTGTGTGTTGCAAAATTTATTTATTTTTGTATTTCATTAACCATTAATATAGGGACCAAATTTGCGCTAGTAAATCTCCGATCTTTTTACTTTTTTCTGCTCATCGCCAGGCTTCTTGGTGGTAGCGCCGACGCAGGCGAAGTAGGAGAGTACCTTCTTGGTGTTCTCTGTCTTGCCAGCACCAGACTCACCGCTGTGGTAGGAAAATAAATATTACTGTTATTGGAAGATACTTCTAATACAGATCTGAAACTGAAAATTCAATGAATTTATATATATGCACAGATACAAAAATGTCACTTCTCCAGGGTAAAAAAGAATACTACCATTTAAACAAAGCCTATTTAAAACTTAACATTTAAACTAACTATATATTAGTATTATAAATAATTTTTTGTGTGTGTGTGGGCAGGTAGTAACTTACGTGATAAGCATAGACTGGTTCTCGTTACCTGTAAAGAAGAGCAGCATGTTTAGTGATTAAATTATATCTTGGCAGAAATTTAAAAAATAAATCTTCAGTGTTGTATTCTGCAACTTATATACAAAGAACGTGGATTGTAGACATTTTTAGGCGAGTTCATTATTACCCCACGTAAATATTGAAAGTTAAACACTTACACTGCAACATGTTCATGTAGGCACCGTCGGCAATAGCGAAGAGATGAGGAGGCACTTCATTACGCCTCTTACCCTGGTAGATCTTGACCGTACGGTTGGTGTAGATGGGGTACCGCTTGTAGGGGTTGATGGCGATACAGAAGAGACCGGAGTAGGTGTAGATGAGCCTGTTGACGTAACGGGTCTTCAAGTTGTACAGGACGGAGGCATCGTTGAGGTAAGTCAAGTTAGACATGTCCTCACATTTCTCGTACTTGGGAGGATTGACCTGTCCTACTTGGTCCTTTTTCCAGTTCTTGGTCTCACCATTGGCCATAACGGTGACGAGGTCTCCCTTGGTGCCCTGAATCATGCCCTCAAGGAAGCCCTCCTGAGGGTCAGGAACCCAGCAAGACTTCTTGGCGTCATAAGGCTTGGTTTGATCCTTCAGCTTCATCTCCAAGGAGATGAACAAGAACTCGGCAGGGTCGGGGTCGGGACCCTCGCTCTTCTTTACGTGGCCAGGCATGTTAGTGGTGGGTGCCTAAAGTCGTCTGATTCTTTAATAAGACTATCGTCAGTGGATGTTCTGGAATGATCAAATATACTAAATTAAATTACATGGCAGACCTCATAATTCAGACATAAACCAGGGAATAGATATTTCAACGTAATTTGTCTATAAAAAGGCAAATATGGCTGAGAATTTGGTCAACGTTTTAAACATATATTTGTTATTATCATTATTATTATTATTATTATTATTATTATTATTATTATTATTATTATTATTATTATTATTATTTATGAGCAATAATTCATTTTTTCTTGTAGAAAGATTGGTCTTATCAGTCTGACCCATTCTTATGTGTCCTAAGGTTATTTAAACTATTTTACTAAGCCTAAGCATGTTAACCCTGCCAGGTGTAGGCAAAATCATAGTCCATTAGTTAGGATTAAATCTATACGTCCTCACATTCTGCTGAAACCGGATGATCTATTAAAGAGGTTATTTTGTTTCTCAAGTGATGTGCTGTGTATAAACGCTATTTTTTCTATTAAAATTTGGTTTCCTGTAACTACGACAGTTATAATTTATAAGAAATACGGTCATGAAGATTAAATTAATGAAACTATAAATTAATGACATTTATATCTTATTAAGATACATACGGTTATATTAGAAGAAATTCAGTCACTCTGACCATATAAACACTTCCAAGGAGCTGTAAGAGAACAGACAAAAGCTATCTCCTTGAGTCGGGAAGAAGCCCTTGCATTTTAAGGCTTATTTGGATTTATCTAAAAAATGCACGGCATACTTGTGCTTTCGCGATAATCGTCTAATTATGACTTAAATCGCAACTGACTTGTGAAGTAGGGAGAACTTTTCCGTGATTTTTTTGTATATTTACAGGATGGCGCTTATGTACAGTACACATCAATTTAAGTTTTCTAGAAAAATAAATCAGATTTCCCATATAATCGCTATGATGCAGTTATCCCTAAAACAACGCCTCGTTCTATTATTCAAAATCACATACACTGTTGCCTCCTCAAAATACTTTAATCTAGATCATCTTTCATTTTATCTTCCACCCTCCTCTTCGTTTTCGCCTCTACTTCCTTTCGACTATCTCAGAATTACTAATTATTTTCACCAATCTTTCAGTATTCTTTTAATCGAAATAATGAAGAAAAAATCATTACGTCAGTGTACCGTTGCATCATTTTTCTCTATCAACAATTTGCAGACTGTTTGACAAACACATAAGCATTTTCCAATAAATAAATGGGTTTGAAATTCTTCTGACTGGCCTAAAGTCGCTAAACCTCGTGTAACAAGTATCCTTTTTTCCATAAGCAAAGAGCGCTTCAACTTCAGAAGAGCATCGTGAACCGCTCCACAAATACTTGAAAAGGTTTAATAAATCACTATCATCTACGTCGCACCTTTTTTCAGAAAAAAAAATAATATGCACAAATGTATTAAAGTTATAGATCCAACTTGTGGGTAACTTACAAGGCGTTCTTCACTGCACCACCACGATCACACCACCGTCGCGATTACACCACCGTCTCGAGCACCCACCGTAGGGCGTCTGAGGGCGACTGGTCCAACAGCTTACCAGGTAGGCACGAGAGGTGTAATACAAGCTGTGGTAAGTTAAGAATAGCACCACGCCAGGCTCAGTGACCTGCGGGAATTTTCTCTCTTGGCAACCCAAAACTTGAAGAGTACCAGCAAAGAACTTGGGTCACATTAATTATAATTCCGTATTTTGAACTACTTGGGAATATTTCGAAATCATACAAACTTTACGGATCTTAAAAAGTACCTGAAATAACCCAAAGTAATTGCTAAAAAATTGGATTCCTTCTCTTAAGGCGTCCTCATCTTCTTACGCCTGGTGCCGCTCCCATATTTGGGAAGGTGCGTCCTGTGCCTGGTTCACAGGACAGTAAGCTCATTGTTAGCACTAAATAATCTCACCCATCTTTCCTCTCTTACATATACATTATTCAGTATCCTCACTTTTCCTTTTCTTCCTTCTGGATCAGTAACTCAACGAACCGTTCATAACGTGTGTCAACCTAAGTTTCTACCACCAGCCACTCTATATCACCACTGTACTGATCAGTCCCCAATACATATAAAAATACATATGTTTTTCTTCTTCATCCTCATTAAAGTTTTCTTTGTTTAAAGGATCATCTTAGTTTTTTATTTAAACAGACAACAGTTATGTGCTTATAAATTAAAGACTTTATCTACCTATATCAACGTGTGTGTGTGTGTGTGTGTGTGTGTGTGTGTGTGTGTGTGTGTGTGTGTGTGTAAAAAAACAGCTGTTTAAACAGTTCTGCAGGTGAATTTATGTACCTGTACTGATGTAATCTCTTAATTTTGGATATACAAAATAAGCGCCGCCTACTGCGTCACGTGTGTACAGCAGGTTTGTGATTTGTTGGATCAAAACGTTGAGACATTTCACGGCTGAGTCCATGCAACTGTCACTTGTCAAGCATCAGGTGACACGAGGGCCAGATTCTTAAGCCACACGCATTAGCATACATCATACAATACTCCAGAAACGTTTATGAAGATACGTTAAACAATAAAAAAAATTCCTGTGACGCATAAAATAAAACCTTATTAAAAAACAACGGCTGATATTATTGCTCATTGTGAACCACAAGTGTTCTCTTAATCGGATAATAGACACAACACCTATGCATCAATTACTGATAACAAATAGTGTGCCTACTAATAAAATACTGTAACCAGCGTGTGTCGTGACCACAATACCGCCCGCGGGGAAGAGTCTGTTTTGGGTTTTTTGCACAATGTTTTTGAGCATTGGATTAATTATTATATACATACATAAACAGAACATTCTTCTAGTAGTGCTTTATCATCTGATTTCAACTTCGGGCATCTCAGGCAATGGAAAAGCTGACTCCATCTCGTGTCTGCGTTTTGTTTTGTTTTGTTGTTTCAAATACATACAATAATAAATTCAAAGTTGCTTCATAATATTATATGTTGCTAACATACTTAATAAAACATTTTTGCCATATATATATATATATATATATATATATATATATATATATATATATATATATATATATATATATATATATATATATATATATATATATATATATATATATATATATATATATATATATATATATATATATATATAGAAGAGCACGAAAGAAAACACGAAGTTCCCAAGCGCTGTGTAATTTTACATCTTCAGGGGAAGCGCTTGGGAACTTCTGTGTTTTCTTTCCTTGTGGTTATCAGCATACCTGACACGCACCCACAGATATATATATATATATATATATATATATATACATATATATATATATATATATATATATATATATATATATATATATATATATATATATATATATATATATATATATATATATATATATATATATATATATATATATATATATATATATATATATATATATATATATATATATATATATATTAGGTAAATTAATTAATTTGATTTCGATCGCTTATTATGTAAGTCAGTACTTACATTAAAGTATCACTCTGTCAATACTGGATCCATGCATCATTTTACTAAGCATCACTGACTCACTCTTTAACCAAATTATTCTCTCATCACATTTCATAATTTTATTTTTATCTTTTTGGGAATGTAGACAGTTTGTTCAATCTCCTGACAGGCACATGACGTAACACAATACAAATTTAATTGTCTATGGCATTAATTTGAATCACGTACTGTACAAAAGAACACTGAAATATTAAAGTGTTGCGAATTGACGGATCTCTGCTACAATGTGTCATTCAATAGGCGATTTAACACAAGCACACACGAGCCGGGGTCTATTGTATACCGAAAAATGTAAACTAGGTCTTCATTACTTAAGATAGTGGAACTAAATAATCGTACTTTTATCATAACGATGGAAATTACCCACTTTGTTAGGAATATCTAAAACAAAAGAACTTTGTCCCTTGTCGTAGGTCATTAACTTCTACTGAAATTATATAAGGTGTCTGTTGTATACAATGTATCCCAACGCACAGGTGAAGTAGCTTTACTGTACGATAGAATTTACTGGTCCTGAGAAACGTGAAATACACTTCCATAAATTCAAAAAATTACCTGTTATAGAAACAACGACCAAATAGACAGTGTTTGATAATCTTACAGCTACGTACGTCGCTTACAACACGAGAACATTGTTGACAGTTGTATACATTAAAGCTTCATCTTGGTTATATATATATATATATATATATATATATATATATATATATATATATATATATATATATATATATATATATATATATATATATATATATATATATATATATATATATATATATATATATAGTGTCTGTTTCTGTATTGAGAATTAGAAGTTCTCGAGTGGTAACCTGCTGGTTTGATCCAAAAGTGAAGAAATATTGGTCCTCTCCCCTACTCTGGCTATCTGTCTTTGAGAATTTGATTTGTAGCTGCACAAGTTGCTACAATTCGTTAACTTACTAGGTGACGGAGAAAAGATTAGTACATTAACAAAGAAAATTAAATATATGTAATAGGCTCGTATAAATTACTAATCTCACGTGATATAATTTTCTTTAATAGAATAAACGATGCCATAGTCGACATAACGTACCTGAACCTGACAGAATAATTAATGCATTTTCAAGGAATAAAAAAATATGTAGGAGGCTCCAGCTTCCGAGGTTCTCCTACAGGATCATAGTGTAACTGAGTTTATGATGTGCTTTGATGGCTGTCTTAATTTGGAGTATATTTTGTAGGTCTCAGCGTGACGCAGCACAAACAGTGTATCAAGTTATCTTGGGTATTAAGCAAGTTATGCTCCAGTGAATGATAGTTATGCAGGTCTGGCAAGAATAGCAAACTAAACTGCCAAGTATGTCGACTAGTCTACCAAGATCCTGGTAACTTACCTAGTAGGTAAAAAAATACAATGATTCACAAAGAAAAAGAAAGAGACAAGTTGAAATAGCTTTATAAAACTTTCTAAATCAGGAATAATTATGAAGCTCTATATGACGAACACTGTGTATAAGCAGTATATGACATATGTATTGCTTACTCGATTTACCTCTTATCTGGCTACTGTGCGGGGCAGAGTCAGCGGGAAATCCCACAGGAGGTGCGGCAGCTGGCAAGGCTGCTGGCCAGGTCTCTTGTGTAAAACAGTCCGTGCTCAAACATGGAAGACGGTATAAGTGTCAGTATTAGTATGAAACTTCCCAAATGAGTCAAATATAAGTAAACAGTAAATCGCTTAATTTTGAATATATTAGGCAAATTATCAAACTCACAGATAGTGCAAAGAAATCAAATATTAAATTGAGTTTAAAGATGTTATTATAATTTGTCTGGATGGTTAAATGTTAGATGTTTAACAAACTGCTAAAGTATCATCATAATTCATAGATGAGGAAAGAATGAGGAAGTGTCATTCAAATTTCTATATCATTTCTTCTACATTATTTAGCCCAGGTTAATTATTTCCTCCTACGGTAAGATTATCAAATATTTCAACAAATAACAGGACGAAAAGATTGAACACTTTTTATATTTTATAAATTCAGTGTACTGTACATTTCCTTAAAATTCCAGGTTGATACCTCATTAATGAAGGTTTTCTATGATAAATAAATATGCGAGTTTATGCATATATTTCCTGTAACAAGTGTACCTCTCACTACCAGTTAACTTCGGGTATAGTTTCCCAAGAGTTGCTTGGAATAGGACTGGCCTCTAGGGAGAATTACGACACCTAAAAGGACGAATATGTATTTGTTTAACAAGTGAATGACTCTCCATGCTTATTTCCCTCGCCTTTTTTCTTGGATTTAATAAGTTTTTTGTTGTTTTTTATTACTTACAGGTGGTTTTAATGATTTATAGTTGATTTGGAAAAGCGTGTGATAGGATGAACAGAAAAACATTGTGGGAGGTATTACAAGTGCATAGGGTGGGATGAAGACTATTAAATGCTGCCGTAAAAGCATTCTATGAGAACAGCAGGGCAAGAGTAAGAGTAGATGGGAAAGAAATTGAAACATTTGAAATAAAAGTGGGTGTCAGGTTTGAGTTATGTCCCCGTGGTTGTTCAATATAGACATGGATGTGAATTATTATACAGTGGTGAAAATGGGGATAATAAGGTATCTTACAAGGCTGCATACACCTCAAATCCTGATTTAAATATGGTAACCGAGTTATAGCTGGTGACTGCGTCTGTTTATGGTTGGGCTTTGAGCCCGTGGTTCGTATGTGTTCACATCACGTATTATACGGGTCCAGGGGTGCCAAATTGCCAATGCCTCTCTCTCTCTCTCTTTCTCTCCAACTGAACTAAAATGAATCCTTTAAAAATTTCAACTGTAAAAGTAGAATAATTTGTTCCCATGCATTAAGATGAACTTAAAATTAGATTTTGCCTTTAGACATTAGGACGAGTCTGGGTGATTGATCAAATCTTGTGTATTTCAAATTCGTTCTATTCACAGTGATTTTGTTATGGAAAAAATATATGAATGATTGCTAAATTATCCTGAATGTAATGTT